CTTATTCCTCTCCTCGTTCCTCCCTCTTGGGTTTGTTCATTTTCTTGACCACCTTTTGTAATAAATATTGGGGTTTTTGTTGAGCTAGCAACGGTGTCTGTTTTTCGTGTCTGTATATCTCGGGCCTTCTCTGATAAAGTAACCCCCCTCCCCGATACAAAGTTCACTCATGTTACGACTATCTCACATTCTCCTACAGGACAGGCTATTATAGGGATGATGTATGGTACCCTGAAGCAATTGCTTCACATAAAAACAGAGGGGGAATTGTGGGGGATTTCGGCGGGACCGAGCCCCTGAGATGGAATGAGAGAGAGTGGCTGAGAATGGAGGCCCTGATCCTGACAACGTACTGATGCATCCTGAGAGAGCAGAGGAGCAGCAGGAGAGAACTGTCCCGTGGGAACAGGGAACACTGTCTCATGAGAACGAGGACTTATTCTGAAGAGTGACTGAGAAAAATATAAACCTCAAAGGAAAACAGGGACAGGTGCACAGAAATGTTGTGAGAAAGTAGGACTGAGAAAGTCCAGAGAAATCCAGCTAAAATCTACCTATTAGCTGTAAGAATTGTAGTTTGTGTATGTAAGCTGACCTATCTGTGTGATATACGTGTACCAAAAGAACTGTATTTAAGAGGCTGTAAAGTGCAGCTCGTGACTGCTGCTGCTTCATTTTCCTTTTCCAATAAACTTTCTTGCTGAATATTACATGTCGTAGTCCGTCCCAACAATGACATTGCCTTGCATAACCCTACTCTCTACTAGTGACAAATATTGTTCAATTAAGTATTTAGTTAGTAAATCTTCAGGAACAACATTTACTAAACAATGTGAAGTGGTTTATTACTTTTGTTCCTGTGTGGTAAACTGAAGGCTTTGGTTCTGCAAGGACCTACATACATTCATGTGCATTTAATTTGCAGCTACTAATAGAGCTCACTTAGGCTACTCTGGTGTTTGCAGACCTCTGCTTTTCATTTTTTGTTTTTTTGAAGGTGTGATTACAGTTCATTTAGACATGGTCAACCTAGCTTTAAAACAGCTAGTTTGGGTATTGCTAGTAGTTGAGGTACAGTTGAACTGATTTTGAACTGATGAGTTATCTTTTAGAGTCTTTATGTAGTTTCTTGGATGGTTTTGCAGCCTGCATTGGTCTATTATTGGTACCTGAAGTTTGAAGAAAATTTGAATAATTCTACTGAAGCTATAACCTCTCCAGTCTGAAGCACCGACGTGCTCTAAAGAAGTCCTAATGTTGTACTGCAGAAAGTATTTTCAATTTGTAATTTAGATTTCCATCCTGAAAAACCTTTTTAAAAGTTCTTCTTAATTCTATGAACTTTGATTAAGAAATTGATTTTGAAGGGATGAGGTTTAAATTGACACAAAGTTTTGTTTTATCAAAAATTACAATTAAACAAAAAATTGAAAAAATCTTAGTAAATAATAATATGTGGAAATTCAGTTTCATATAAAGTTTTAAAAACAGCGCACAAAAACATTCTTTTTGGCTTACTCAAAATGACATTCACTTAGTAGTGACTTAGTAATGTCATTTGCTGAAATGGCAAATTTATTTTGGTTTTAGTGGTCATTAGCAGCTCTGAAAACAATGGTATTTTAAAATGCAATCATAACAAGGTTTGTTAATGGCATACTAAAGTTAACCTTGTATTTTATCTTTTCAGTTATTCATGGTGGACAATGGAGCAGATGACTGGAGAATAGCCATGACTTATGAGCGTATTTTCTTTATCTGCTTGGAAATACTTGTATGTGCTATACATCCCATACCTGGGAACTATACATTCACATGGACAGCCCGTCTTGCCTTTTCTTACACTCCATCCACAACAACAGCTGATGTGGATATTATTTTATCTATACCAATGTTCTTAAGGCTGTATCTTATTGCCAGAGTTATGCTTTTGCATAGCAAACTTTTCACTGATGCATCATCTAGAAGCATTGGAGCGTTAAACAAGATAAACTTCAATACCCGTTTTGTTATGAAGACTTTAATGACAATATGTCCAGGAACTGTACTGTTGGTTTTTAGTATCTCATTATGGATAATTGCTGCATGGACTGTCCGAGCTTGTGAAAGGTAAGGTTGTTCTGTTTGGTTGGTTGGTTTGTTCTGTCCATCTGTCTTGTTTTGCTTTTCTGGTTTTGTGTTTGAAGGACCTAAATATTTAATGGAATGGAGCTTCCTGGTCTTTGATATGTTGAGTGCTGGTAGGATTTCACTCTGTCACAGATTGTCAGGAATGCTTTGCCTTTTAATCCAAAGGACCTACATAGAGAAGTTTATGCCACAACACTTATTGTAGTATTGCTAGTCGATTTCAATGTTTTCATTGCTAAAGCTTTGCCAAAACACAGTGGATATGATAAAATGTCTTTTAACAACAGTTGCAGTTGTTGATATTATGTTTGCTAAGAGCCTTCATTTATTGTGTTTGTGCGTTAAATTTACTGAGAGTAATGTAGATAAAATAGCTATGAAAAATTCCAATGGAAAATGTATTTTTTCAGTTAGACTTTTATTGTCTTGCTGCTTTAAAAAAAAAAAAAAGTGAAAAAAAGTTGTTGGGGAGTTGGCAAGATCAAGAAAGGGTGATGTACTGGTTTTGGCTGGGATAGAGTTAATTTTCTTCCTAGTAGCTCGTACGGTGCTGTTTTGGATTTGTGACCAAAATAGTGTTGATAGCACATTGATGTTTTAGCTATTGCTGAATAGTGCTTACACAGCATCAAGGCCTTCTCTGTTTCTCCCTCTGCCCACCCCCAGTGGGAAGGTTGTCAGCGTACAAGAGACTGGGAGGGGACACAGCCAAGACAGCTGACCCCAACTGACCAAAGGGATATTCCATACCATATACCATCATGCTCAGCAATAAAAACTGGGGGAAAGAAGGAGAAAGGGGGGAAGTTTGGAGATATGGCATTTGTCTTCCCAAGTAACCATCACATGTGATGAAAACCTGCTTTCCTGGAAAAGTAAGATTGGAAGTAGTGAATGAATTCCTGTCATGGTTTGAGAGCCCCAAAATCCAATTCTCAAGTCCTAGCCCTCCTCCCACATCTCAACCCAGTGTGAGATGGGTTTTCCAGACACCACACGAGACTCAAAATGGGGGAAAAGGGTTATATTACAAACACTGTACAAATAAATAGTATAATACATCATATACAATCTTAACTATCTCTATTATGATAAAACAGTATTTACAATGGATCAAATCTCTTCTCCCTTCCAAATAAAAGTCCAGGAGGGAAGAAGGAAGAGATCCTTTCTACTTTCAGAGCAGCAGTGTTTCTAGGGCAGCAGGCTCTCTTCTCTCATGCAGCAACTGTAGCTGGATCTCTGCCAGTACACAGGAGGGGGTATCCAAACCCCTCGACCCTTCGACTTCAAGCAAGGGTCTTATCTTCCGTAGACTGTGTTCACCAGGACAAAGGTCACTTCACTACGTCATACCACGAAGCACAGGGGTCTTCGTGACGGTCCCTATCTTCAGGGGATTCAAATTCCCTTACAGAGCTTCTGTGGTCCCTCTCAAGGCAGTGGGGGGGTGGGGGGGTGGTGAAGGTCCTCCTCTGCATTCCTTTGGCTGTCCCGGTCCAGCTTTCCAGGACACCTGAGCTTCTCAACTCCTCTCTGCAGTGCTGTAGCACTCCAAGACTCTTCTCAAGTAAGAGTCCATCTCCCTCCTCCTAGGAGGTCTCAGAGGGATTTGGAGACTTTGGTTCAGTTCTTACCCAAATTCTCTCTCTCTCTGTAGAGCTTAGTTCTCTCTCTGCTGCTCTCTCTCTCTCTCAGACAATTCTGTGTCTTCCTGCTCAACTGCATGTTTGTTTGCTGCTTCTTCAGTTCTTATCTCCTTCTGACTCTCTGCCACCATTTCTCTGTACGCTGCTCCTGCCGCTGCTCCGTCTGCCCACTCATGGTGGAGAAAACTCCTTCAGCTTTCTAGCTACAGGTACTTAGCCCAGTCTTACACTGTTCCAAGTCCCTGTAGCCCCCCAGCCGGGGACTGGGGGGGCCCAACCCCCAGTGGGGCTCCTGCTACTTCTCCTCATGGCTCTACAACATGACTACTCCTACAACAACAACTACCTTTCTTTTCCGGTCTGCTTGTGATATGTTTATATTTTGCAGAAGCACTCATTGGCTCAAACCTCAAGGGTCACCACTCCCTGGGGGTTTACCATTTTATAGCTTCAGGGGGAAAACTGTTTTTCCCCCACCACAACTCCTTACGTTGCTTTGCTTATGCATACAGTTTTTGCTTTCCCTATTAAACTGTCTTTATCTCAACCCATGCATTTTCTCACTTTTACCCTTCCAATTCTCTTCCCCCTCCTACTGGGGGGGACTGAGTGAGTGGCCATGTGGGGCTTAGCTGCCTATCGGGGTTAACCCACAACAGAGTCAAAGAGAAATGGTGATGGGGGGAAAGAAATAAATAGGAGGTGAGAAAGAGATGGGGAAAGAGAATAAAAAGGAGAAAGAGCGGAAGAGAGCAACAGAGAAACAAAGAAGGAGAAGGGAAAAGAGAGAGAAAAAGAGAGAAAGGGAGAAAGAGAGAAAAAGAAAGAAAGAGAAAGAAAGAAAAGAAAGAAAGAAGGAGGGGAGGTAGAGAGGTAGACAGTGAAAGAGAGAGAGAGAAAGAGGAATGGGAAAGATGAATTGTTAGAGTGACAAAGGGGAGAGGGAGAGAGTTGGATGGGAGGAGCAAAAGAGGAAGGGAAGGAGAAATGGTGAGAAAGAAAGGGGGGGAAGAGGGACAGCAGATAGACAAACCAAGAGAGACAGCAAAAGCAGGAGTGTGAGATAGAGAGAAAGCATGAGGAAGCACACAAGGGACCAAGAGAATTGAAGGGAGAATAAGTGGGAGAGACGTAGATGCTGAGCAAGCAAGAGAGAGAAAGCGAAGGGCAAGAGCAAGAGACTGAGCGAGAGAGAGAAAGCAAGAGAGGAAAAGAGAATGTGGTGGAGCAAAAGCAAGAAATGGTGTGAGAGCAAGAGCTAGAGGAAGAGAGAGCAAGAAAGGAAGGGGTAGCAGAACAGAAGGAGGGAGCAAGAGTGAGAATGTGAGTGTGAGATTGAGAATGAATGAAAAGGCGAAATAGAGGAAAAAGCTAGAGAGAAAAGCTAGTGAAAGTGAGAAACAGACATGTTTTTCCTCTTTCTTTCCCTGTTTGCCCACTTTGGAAACTGTTTAGGGAAGTTATTTGTGACAGCTAACTGATATAAATCAGCAGTTAAAATGCAGTTAACCTGTTATGGTCAGGTTACTTTTGGAAGTTATTCATTGCTTTACTTCTCAATTTGTTATGGAGGAAAATAGCTTATCTTACAAGCTGAATGTAGATATTATGTCAACATCGCTACTTTTATTCTTAAGATTTCCAGAATTGTGAAATGCAGTTTGTTATAGTAGATCACTAGATGCTTAGTGTTCAGTTATGTTATGGCAAGACTAATCATGTTCTGAAAATGTTAACAGTGACATTATGATTTCAAAATATTTCCCATACCTGAGACAGAAGAAGCATTTTATGGGGTGGGTTGACCTTGGCTGGCTGCCAGGTGCCCATCCAATTGCTCTCTCACTCCCCCTTCTCAACACAAGAGGGGAGAGAAAATACAATTAAAAAACTCGTGAGTCAACATAAGGACAGGGAGATCCCTCAGCAATTACTGTCATGGGCAAAACAGACTTGACTTGGGGAAGAATTTAATTTATGTCCAGTTAAATTAAAGTAGGACAGCGAGAAACAAAGACTCGTTCTGTTCTGTTCACTGGACCAAAAGGTAGTGTTACCATGGAATTTTTGATTTTTTAATTTTTATAGGCTTTAGAAGTAGTTATGTAGTGAATGTAGATTTTAAAGTAGCTGTATTATCCCTCACCCTTTAGCACAGTAGTTTACACATTTTCCCAACACTGTTCCCCTTCCCATATCAAAATTCCGTTAATTCTGTTAGCTTGTTTAGACTTCCCTCAAGGTAGGCCTTCATTCTGTTTAAGAACATCTGCACCCTGGCCTGGACAACAAGATGCCACGCAGGCACAGCGACCTTCAAACCCAGAACTTTGGAGGAACTCCAAGGGCTGCACGTGCTTTGATGAAGAGGAAGATGATGAAAGAGGGATCCCAAACTCCCCCAGACTCAATTCCTGAAGGGGTGTACTGGGGGGGTGGAACGGGGCAGAACCGGGGGGATTGGATGGGTTAACACCTTAAATTGTGGAACCCCCTGGACACACGGTGCGCACGACAGTTGTATTCCCCAGAACCTGGTGGCTCATTAAAGCTTTCTGCTTTCTTATCTGATACCCTAATTTGACCTGGAGTCTCTTTTTCAGCGGTCTCCTAAGGCAACAGTAGGATAAGGTAGACATTTGAATAGGAGAAACAGGCCTAGAGCCAAGGCTTTCTCCAAGCTTCAGTAATCAGGGCAAGAACAATAGAAAGGTAGAGAGGTCAGAGCGAGAAAGCTGAGAAAAAGACCCTCGACTTGAGGCCAAAGGCTGGATGTACCCCCGAAACTGAGCGCCAAAAGAAGCACCACCCTAAGCTCCGCCTAGACTCCGCCTATCATCAATATGTATAGATAGATGTTGCAATCATATGAATATGTATAAAAATCATGTATGAAAACTGTATAAAACCCCTGATTTTGTGTGACAATCAGTCAAGAAGCAGATGGCATGATGTTTCAGTGTCCATTGGAGAAACGACAACCTGCACCAGGAACTGCACAGTAGAGCAGGTCATTTTTGTTTTCTTCAGAAGCAAAATATTAAAATTTAGACTCAAAGGAAGTTAGTATGGTTTTCGTAGGATCAACCCTAATGCTTTGCTGTCATTCAGCTAACAGGTTATAGTTTTATAGAGAGTATTGAAGTGACAGTGTTAGTATACTGACCAGAGTATGCTAGATGTTTACAAATAATTTATGAACACATAAACCCATAGAAAATTAAAAGTGATAGGTAGAGAATCTGTCCTATAGATAGATACATTGTGACCTTGAACAAAGTCGCTTAAACTCTGTTTGTCTGTTCCATGCATATAATAATCTTTATTGTT